AGGACTTGTATCGCTGAAGTTTCTCGGAAAGAATTTTTTACGGGAAATTATCAAACAAACAGATATGTAACAAAATATTTGAAATTAGGACATGAATTTTAAAAACGAAATCGAGTCTGTGCTATTGATAACTGCTCATCTAATCAAAAATGTGTCATTAACATGAAGATCACCACTATTATTATGATGTGCCATAAGAAGTTATAGCTGTATATGTAAAAAAAGCACTGAAACATTTTGTTTTACGTTCTTGTGAGGGCCTTTTTTTAAAGTAGATATTTACAAAATGTTGGTACTGTTGCTATGGAATTTCCTTCCTATAACGAAGAGCCGAGTAAGGAGTTCGAAGAGTTTGACTGATGGACATCTTTCTTCGTTAAAGAAGGACGTGGTCTGAAAACTAAGTAAAAAACAACAAGTGAAGTTCATGAAAATAACACTGTTGCAGAAGTAACCTTTTCCCACACATGTAGTTATATATGTTTTATAACACTAACGACTAAATATTGCTTGTAAAAGTACTTTGCTATGTGTTCAATGTTTACATATGTATGGTTGTTTTATGAATAAAGTGGCATATTTATAACGAGGTCTAATTCAGATTGCCAATATATATATATTTATACACCTACAAGTATTTTTTCTTTAAAAAGTTCCAGAGGATGCTGAGATTATTTTGATCTATTTCATATACTTAATCTTAATCTTTTATCTTATATGACATCATTTATAATATTTTTAGCCAATTGTGTAGCTTTGTGCTTAATTACAAACAAACAGACAATATATAATTTTTTTTATGCTTCCTTTGCTCATAAGTGTTACTTGTTTAACAAAGCGAGTTATCGCAGTAATTGTTTATTACTTAATATATATTATACAAATGTTGTATTATTATCACTATTTTAAAACTAGTAACTGCACTTAATTTTTAAACATTTTTGGGTCAACAAAACGGGAAGAGTTATAAGATTAAAAATTATTATCAAGAAATATTTTCTAAGAATTAAAAATTGAATTATTATTTTTAATCTGTATACCTTTTTAAGGACTAAATATAAATTCCAGAATACACTGTTTTCTGAAAATTATGCTGAATTCTAAAATGTTTCTGTCCATTGTGTTTGACAGTTATAGACTGTTTGGGGAAATATCTAAAAGATTTATCTCAAGATAAATGAAAGGTAGAGTCGGCATAAAATGCTAAATCAGTTACGCTAGAAAACAAAAATATCTGTAATTTTTTAATTTGAGTTTAGTATAGAGTATCATCCAATTTCGCAACGAATGAAAATATACACGCACTAATAAAGTTCGGTAAATATATACATATTCATTAAAAAAGAGAGGTTAATTATTCATTTTATAAAATTTTGGAGGTGCATTTATAAAATCAATAGTATTTAAAGGTAGAATTTTGCACTAAAATTGTCATATGGTTATTATATGACAAGTTACTGCGAACAAATGAGAAATGTTCCCGAATAATGATTTTAGACTATACACAGCGTGGTCGCAAGTAAATAGACACCACCTTTTCAGAAAAAATGAAAATTTTCATTCATATTCACATGAATTGATATATTTATAATGTAATTAATATCTAGTAGATCTTCCTTTCGCTTCGTGGAGTTCGTTGATCCTTTGGGGCATCGTGAGAGTCATCTCGTCAATTTTAGATTGTGGGATTTTCGCCCACTCTTGCTTCAAAACTTGGAGTAGATCGCTCTTCGAAGTTGGTTTTTTTTTGTTGTTACTTGACTTGCCGGTCAAGTATGGCCCAGAGGTTTTCGATGGAGTTCGTGTTAGGAGATTG